AAAAAATGTGATGAAATGAACAACACTTACTGAATACTGTACAGTGGTCTAATCAGGATTGCTATATGCCTACTGAGAACTAAGACACTTGAGTATGTAAACAGTCTGGGGCTAATCAGGTGTTGCCACATTCATCAGGTTTATTTATTTATTTTTTGATTCAGTATTATATTCTCATATGATTGGCCTCTTATGGTTTATGGTTCATCATGATTAATATAACATCTTCAGTAATAGAGAAAAACAAGTGATCGCAAGCCCTTCGTGCCCGGTGAAAGTTTGAACGCTCGTGCTTGGCTAGCGTACAGCGAATAAGGGTGCGCCAAGTCCGTAGACTTGCATCGTTTTCCATCATAAATAAAATGGTTAATTAATGCCTGCCTAAAGAAACCATCGACATGGGACCAGGTTTGTTACACTCTACGAATGTTTTGTGATTTTTCCACCAAGTTTGATGAAAAACGATTGAGCCGTTTCGGCTGCCCAGAACAGACACACACACAGACAGACAGACATACACACGGCTATTCCTATAGTACATTAGATACAATACTGTATGTAATTTGTAATATGACTTGAAAATAAAAGGATTAGCTGTATCAGAAGGTTGTTTTACTCAGATGAGTTCGTGTGAGCTATCAGTAGACCAGCTTACAACAGGGGTCACTATAGCACACTGTATAGTATTTGATATGAAGATACCTTTTTAAAAACGTTATTTACTACCTTTGAGTGTTATATGATGACTCAGTTTGGCTACTTGTACTTAGACAAATGATTAATGAGTAAACCAGGGTATATGCAGATACAGTACCTAATACTTTACACTACATATTACTTATTAAGTGATGATAGATACACTACAATAGTATTTATTAAGTGGTCATAAATACACTGCAATAGTATTTATTAAGTGATGATATACAGCTACTCCCTGACTTACGACCACCCGAACATACAACCGCCTCAGTCGTATCAAAATTTTTTCAAATTATGTATTTTCGAGTCCCAACGTCAGTGAATGCGCTGTGAACTGACAAAATTTTTGTTTGTAATTCACTTTAAAATGGCTGGCAAGCTTAAAAGTGAGAGTTTTGTGGTGCTGAGAAGAAAAACAGACACCCATTTTAGATTTTCTATTTATTATTTAAGCATTTTCGATTTACAACCATTTCGACTTATGACCTGGATTTGGGTCCCTAACCCCGTAGCAAGTCAGGGAGCAGCTGTATACACAACTGTACAGTACTAATTTACTAAGTGTTAAAGACAGACATTGTGGTAAGCCAATCAGCTGTTTGCTCTTTATAAACAAATGAATATGAAATGACTGCTGTTCGGTGTGGGATTCTTTTTTTCAGGAAAGCCGAATCTTTTAGGATAATAATTTATCAAACTGGCTCCAAATGATCCTAAATTATATGAGAATTGTGGTGGAATTGTATAAAGAAGTGTTAAAGGAGTCTTGTGGGAGAGAGGGGGAGGAAGCCACCTACCCATGCTACCCCCCTTCTTTCAGCTGCTCCCAGATAAGCATTCATCTTCCACATGCAATATACTCCTACACTTATTTGTATCTTTATAGTACAGTACTGTACAATATACAGTTTTCTCTTCATTCATAAGACAAATTCTGTAGTTACTTACATATAACAATTTACAATAAATCACAATCATCTCGGTGACACTCAAACTTACATGTCTGATTTTCAACCCAGAGAGTTTTGTTTTATATTTTTTTTTTTACTGTTGATGTATTATTCTTTTAATAACCTTGTTATACACTTAAAGACTTTAGTTGTTTAAATACAGTGACAACATAATGACATTTTCTTTAAACAGTTCAGATAAGCAGTGTTATCTCCAACCCCCCTCATATATTAGCTTTTCTCGGACTTTCGCATTTTTCGGACTGGATTCTGCCCCAATTAGTCCAATTTATCGAGGTTCTACTGTATTCTCGCTGACACCAACTGTAGGAGCATCGAGACTACCATTATCCATGAACAACTACACTGGACTGGTCATGTTACCCGCATGGACAACAGTAGACTGCCAAAGCAGCTATTTACAGTCATTGAACGAATAGTAAACGTAATGCTGATGGGCCACTGAAAAGGTATAAGGATAGTATTAAGACAAACCTGAAAAATTGCCAAATCAACCCCTTCACCTGGGAAACGACTCCTCCACATGCTTGGAGGAGCACCACACAAGAAGCACAGGAAGGTATCAATACTTTCTAGTTTGCCCGACTTCATACCGAGGCAGACAAGCGCCAACACACACACACACACACACACATATATACAATACAGGTAAAAGAAATAATTGTCCTTAGGACAAACACAAAGGGAATATACATTTCTTTACACATGATGAAAAATGTATCCCCGGCCAGCAAATTATATCCCCGGATTGGCTATCCGCGACCATTTTAGGACCCAAACCCCCGTGAATTTTAAGGGCATGCTGTATATTTATTTAATGGAACTTTTAGATAAAATATTCAGGGTAATTCTAGTAAAGAAATTGAGTTTCTAACTTAATCAGAACTGCTTTTACAGACTCCAGTATCAACATTTCTTATGTTTCTACATAAGGAATGGAGTACCCACCATTAAATCATGAGAAAATATTTTGTTTAAGGATCTCTTATTGGAAATTTCTTGAAGAATTTATTTAAGATCATTGTGGCATCAAATTCATCTCTCTAATACAATTAAAACAAATGCTGTGAATGAAAGTATACAGTACAGTGACCCCTCGTTTAACGAACGCCTCGGTTAACGAAATTTCGGTTAACGAACTGCCTTCCATGAGGATCTTCAATTCGGTTAACGAACAAAAATTCGGTTAACGAATTTCTTACGAGCCGACCTCAACATGTTTTCGCTTGCACTGACCGGGCAGCCAGCTTTAGTATCAGTCCGCCAATACATTAATCGGTTCTAGGGCTTAAATTCCTTACTATTTTAGTAAATATCAAGAAGTTTATACTATTCAATAATTTTAAAAGTTTAATATTAAATTTTTTAGTCATTTTAACAATTATTGAACATAATTGAAGGTAAAGTGACTAGTTTAATGTGCGGCATCCAGCCTCTTAACACAGCAAACAGGCGTTAGTCTCTCTCTGTTTTCACTGGAGGTAACATCTTGCTTGAGACTCTCTTCAACTAAATGCCTTTTTCTGTGTTTCCAAGCAAATTATTGGTCATTTTGAAATATATTTTACATATTGACAATATATAATGCAGTGCAGTGTTGATTTAAAGAAAATAATCTTGAATTACACCAAGAGAGCTAAAATTTTATGGGTGAAATGGGGCCAAGGGGTGACTTCTCTTCCACCCCAATGCCTTCTCTTCTTCCTTCTCCTCCACCCCCATTCTAAATCCCATCATCATCATCATCATCCAGGAGCCTTCTACATACACACCTCAAAGTAAGTGAACTTTTCTACCATTTTTGTTGAATTTAGGAAATTTTCGGTGAGCTGGAACCAATTACCCAAAAACCCATTGAAACAATGGTTTCGGTTAACGAACTTTTCGGTTAACGAATGACCTTCTGGAACGGATTGAGTTCGTTAACCGAGGGGTCACTGTATACAGTTTCGCTACCCATAAATATTTTCGCTTGTACCCGCAGTCTAGATGTAATGGGAGAGTGTTTGTCAGTGCGAGATGAGATGCATAGTTTAAAGTCGAGATGAAATGTGTAGTTTAGATTCTCAAAAATATTCTGGGGGATGTGGGCTTGTGTCTGTCTGTGCAAGACATACAGTTTAGACAGGGATATCAATGTATTTATTTGATTTATTTTCATTCATTTTTTAATCTTAAGTAAGCAAACAATGATGTTTTCCTTCTTTTGTTATTTAAGAAGTAACACAAAAAAAATTAAACGGAGTTTGTGTGGGTGAGTGGAAGCAAAACTTGGTGTAGGCCTTGGTAACATGGATGGCCTAGGACCCAAGATACCAGAATTCATCAAACCTGCTAAGTATTGGGCCCAAGGGTCCTGGATTTGATGATAAAAACTTATACTGTACATGTATTTAATAATTTTTCTCCTAAGTTAACCACTTTTATTACAGTACAGTACAATATGCTGTTTTTAGTTTGTCTTTATAAACTAAACAGATCTGGTACAGAAAGCCCAAAGATGCCTATGTCAGCACCTCAGTGTCTTTTGATGCTGTGAAAAATTATGGAGGGAGGGTGGGTTAACTTCGGATTTTTCATACATAAATCAAATCATGACTTTTTCCCATTCATAAATTTGGATTTTCAGAAACCGGATCTTTGTAAATTAGTGACTGCCTGTACCGTATTACAGTAAAACCACGATTAACCGACCACATATGGGGGGAAGGGGCCGACTGATAATCGGAAAGGTCAGGTAATAGTACATAAAGTCTACGGAAATAAAACATACATTTTCAAAGTACCTTTCCCTAACCTACTGTACTTCATTTAAGTCCCTCTATTCATTTTTGTTCATTTGCCATTCATATTTCAATAGAATTTGCTTTAAAACATTAACCACTTTAGTAAATAAATATGAACCAGCACAGAAACCGTGAATAAAAAATGGAAAAGTCTAAGCACATAGGTATGTCATCACAAAAATTTGTGACCAAGTCCCAGGTTGCTCATCTGACTTTCTGCCTCATTTACACACAATTGCAGGGTCTCAATTGTTTCTCTTACTATTGACAACACAACATACATACAGGTACATTGTTTCTCACTCTTGATTTTTTTTTTCATCTTTGCATTTCTTTATTACTATTATTATTATTATTAGCATTATCATTATTATTATTATTACATTATCGCCCCCCAGGCCCCAATGTGGGTCAGTGACCTGTGCCCGGATGGGCTAATCCCCGTAAAAAAAAAAATTTTTTTTAGGGGTTTGGGATTGACGGTTAATCCGAAAGTCGGTTAATCGAGGTTTTACTGTAATACAATGGGAAAGTCAAACTTTACCTTAAGTCTATCCATAAGATTTGACAGCTTTAAACCAAGAGCAGGCAACTGGTCTTTAGTTTGTGCTGTCCGCCAGTTCCGGGACGGGTAGGCAAAGAGGGAAGGAAGTCCTGGGGCACTTGGGTAGCTGGTGCGAGAGTGGGCAAAAGATGACAGGAACAACTCACGGTATGGCTCAAAGTTAACCACACCAACCTGTGAAAATTGCCACAAATTATTATACATGTACAGAATATCATAACTCTTGCATAAAATTCTAGGTTATAAGCTGATAACCTTCTTTAACTAATAAAACAATAATACAGTAATACAGTGGTCCCTCGATTAACGAACACAATTGGTTCCACATAGTCGGTTGTTAACCGAAAATTTCGTTAACTGAATCTATTATTTCAATGGGATATTGGGTACTGTAATTGGTTCCAACTCACAGAAAAAGTATACTGTACGTACAAAGTACTGTATACCGGTAATAGAATTAACAAAACATAATATATAAACTAAATACAGTACTGTACTGTACAGTATACTGCACAATAATAACAAAACCCAATAGAATACAGTAGTACCCCGATTTACGCGGTCAATTGAACCCACAAGGTACCGCGGAAAGTGAAAACCGCGTAAAGTGAACAACAGAACAAATGGGATTAATTCCAATAGAGACTGGCCCGACCCCCAAACTCCACTTTTTCCGACACAATACCTATGTTGTAGTAAAAATAACATCTAAATTTTATGATGGTATGCTCACACAATTAATATTTAAGAGAAATACAGTCGCCAGGTTAATGTCCATTCAAATAATGGACTCAAATCCCCCCCCCCCTCTTCCCAGCTCACTGGCCCCTACCTCTCTGAGAAATGTTTGGGTGAAAACACTAGATTTTAACGTTTAGTAATAAATAATACCTCAGACTAAAGTTAGGATAATATAATTGACATTTCTGGATTCCTTGCAGGTCAGGGAATATTTTGAATGTAAACTTCATATATTTTGCACAAAAGATAAAATATTTGCTTTGTGTAAACCAAATTATTACTTTAGATCTAAAATTTGTATATCTAATGCAAAATCCATGATGTTTATATTCAAAATGATCATCATATTGTAAGAATTCCAGCAATGTAAATTATATTCTGGCCAGGTAATTTGTATGAATTTTATGAGCTAAATAAAAAAAAAATAAAAAAATTATACTTCACCGTGTATATGAGTAGATGCACCGCGGAAAGTGAAAGTCTGGTTCTGGCAAATTACCGTGGAAAGTGAAACCGTGTAAATCGGGGTAATACTGTACTGTATTTTTACTTACTTTGAGTTGTGTATGTCGTATTCCAAGGCAGCTTTGTTTACATATCAAACAGCCGATTGTAGAGGCAGTCGATGATGACATGCCATATTCTTTACTGAGTGCATTGGTTCTAATGTCTTCTCCATGTTTCATAATAATTTCTGCACTGTATATTATCAATATGTAAACTAAACTTCAGAATGACTGATAATCTTAATGTAAAAATGCAAAATTATTCAAGAGACCAACAAACTCAATGTTCACTCCACTGTAAACAAAGTTAAACTGAGAAGCGTTGGTGGGTGATTTGATCAGCTGAAGGACACACAAAAGCTGTTCCCTGTACTGTATATATTATCAATATGTTAAATAAATTTCAGAATGACCAATAATTTTAATATAAATGATTTATTTTTCAAGAGCACAACTTTTTTTATATTTACTCCACTGGAAATGAATGTAAACATAGAACCAATTACTGTATTGGCGGACTAGCTGATCAGCTGATGCACACAACAAAGCGTGTTTCTTGTAAGGCTGTCGTTAATCAAAGTTTTGTTCGTTAATGGAACTGAAATCCTTATGGGAGCTAATTCGTTAACCGAAATTTCGTTAATCGAGGAACCACTGTACTGTGCAGTATATGCATAAATATTAGATTCATTTCAATGAGAAATTATAATTATGCACTGCAGTACTTACTTGGTCATGCAATAGTCTTGTGGCAGATTCAAAGGCACCAGCCAGCACATGGTCAATGGCAAGCTGGCTGCGCTGCGTCCATCCGTGTGTTGGGGGATGACCTCGAGGAGGTGGCACAAAGTAACCATCTTCGCCATCAGCACCAACACCAGATGAAACCGTTCCCTCCAGTTCTGGTGGCAGCTCAAGGTCGTCATCAACCTCCCAGCCTCCACCCTCACCATCTCCACCTGCAAGGCAAGGAAAATTCATAATGATACAAATATCATAAAAGTATCATCACACTAAACTAGAGTACCATACTGTATGCCTTAAAATACTTAGGGGGGTGGAGTCAACAAGGCATGTGTTATGAAGGAGGAATGCTTTGGGTGGGAGAGATGGGAATGGTTGTAAGACTGGAGAAGATACAATTCAGAAGGATGTGTGGAGGTGAATGATGTGAAAAGATGTGTTTGGGTAAGATGTGTGCAGGTGAATGATGTAGAAAGATGTGTTGGGGTTTAAGATGTGTGGAGGCAAAGGATGTGTGCAACTGTGCAAGGAAGGAATGAGTTGGGAAAGGTCCTCTTGTGAGAGGAAAATAAATTCAATTTCTTTTTGAAAAGAAAATTATCTTTCAACAGCAATAAATGCAAAATACTATTTGGGTTATGTCTGAACAAATATCTTTCTCATTTCCCATTTTCTAAATTTTCTTAAGAAAAATAAAGAAAATTCATTGATATATATATATATATATATATATATATATATATATATATATATATATATATATATATATATATATATATATATATATATATATATATATATATATATATATATATATATATATATATAAAGTGGTCCCTCAATTAATGAGCACAATTGATTCCACCGAGTCAGTTGTTAACTGAAAATTTCATTAACTGAATCTATTATTTCAATGGGATATTGGGTAGTTGGTTCCAACTCACAGAAAAGTACATACAAAGTACTGTACTGTACAGTATACCAGTAATAGAATTAACAAAACATTAAATATAAACAAAATACAGTGGTCCCTCGGTTAACGAACACAATTCGTTCCAGAGTAATTCGTTAACCGAATCCATTATTTCAATGGGATATTGGGTAATTGGTTCCAGCTCACAGAAAAGTATATACAAAATAAAGCCAAAAACGCATAAAGTCAGAAACACCCCTAAAATTCCCCTAAATCACAATACAGTTAACCCTCACTTTACGCGGTCCCGCATTCCACGTTTCCACGTTTACTCGGTGCCTTGCCAGAACCTCACGTGCTCACATTACGCGGAGTGTGTCCAGCGCGACGCTATTTTTAGATTCGCCCCACCCGCCACCCGCCTCTCCCTCCTCCTCCCTCCGCTTGGGCAAGCGGCGCGGTAAGGTTGCGCAGTGTGTGTCTTTGTTGCATTATCACTGACGTCATATGACGTATCAGACCTGTGATTGGCCATGCATCCCTACCCCCTCTGCTGCTAGCTGTAATTGGCTTAAAGTATTATGACGTGTCCACCCGGGGAGGGAGGGAGGGAGGAAAGACGACGCTTGACCTAGCCGCGGCAGTTTCATCCCTCAAGGCCACTCCGTGTAAACGCGCATCCATTGTTCCGTAAAATGGCTTCCGCCGGACCACCACCCCCAGAGAGAAACCTTTCCTTACCAGGACCCAGCGGCACTAAACCAAAGAAGACACGACGTTCCTTAAGCTACGAGGTGAAGCATAGCATCATCCAAGAGTTGGAGAAAGGAACAAGGCAGGTTGGTTTGGCGCGCCAGCATGGCGTGAACGAATCTACGATCCGGACTATAAAGAAGGATTCAGCCAAGATAAAGGAGCACATGAAGATCACAAAGTCTTCAGGTGCTTCTATGATCAAGTATTTTCACAACCAGGTGCTTCTCGAGACAGAAAAATTACTTGTGAGGTACTTGGTGCGTCAGGCGCGACGGAACATGGCGGTTGACATGCGCTCTGTTAAGGACTACGCACGTGAACTGTACATGGCAGTGGCACGAAAGATGGGAACTTCAGAGCCAAAACCCTTTAATGCTTCCTCTGGGTGGTTACAGAGGTTTAAGATCCGGAACAAGATCACCAATATAAACATTGGTGGTGAAGAAGTGAGTGCTGATCGTGCTGCGGCTCGGGAATTTCCTCCATTTTTACGTGAGATTATGGAGGAAGGACAGTACAGTGACGACCAGGTGTTTAACATGGACGAATCTGGTCTTTTCTGGAAAAAGCTACCTTCCAAGTCCTTCATTGTAAAGAATGCCAGCAGGATTCGGGGCCGGAAAATGCAGAAGGAACGCATCACCGTCCTGTTTACCACCAATGCCTCCGGTACCTGTAAGCTCAAGTTATCGGTGATCCACACAGCCCGCAAGCCGCACGCCTACAAGAGCATGGACATGACCAAGCTAAATGTCCACTGGCTGACCGCACGTAAGGCATGGATGTTCTCTACACTGTCCCTCTCCTGGTTTGATGACTGTTTTGTTCCCGATGTAAAGAAATTCTGTGAGCGACAGAATGTCCCATTTAATATTTTGTTGCTGCTGGACAACGCACCAGGACACTCGCCCCTACTGTTAGATCGTCACCCCAACGTAAAAGTGGTCTTCCTTCCTCCCAACACTACGTCTTTAATCCAGCCCATGGACCAGGAGTTGATTTGCAATGTGAAAGCTGCATTCTCAACAAAAAAATTCCAGCTCCTGAACGACTACACCAACACCAGGGAAGAGTTGCGTAACCTGAGTGACACCACCACCGATAGCAAGAGCGAAGAAGCTGAGGATCAACAGTTGGAACAGCAAAAAATACTGTTCAAACAATTCTGGAGAGTAATTAACATCAAGAAAGCTGTGGACTTCTTGGTGGAGTCATGGGATCAGCTGTCTATTGCTACAATTCGTCACGCATGGAGACGTGTTGCATGGAATACCAGGTGAGAGGAGGAGTCAATCTGTGACTGGTGAGGTTCAGAATGTTGCAGTAGCAGTGGACCTTGCCAGAGAAGCTGCGCAGACTGTTACAGTTCCAGGCTTCTCCGAGACCACCAACGACGACATCCTGGAGGTGATCAGAGATCCTGAAGTGACTGCCGACGAGATGTTGGAAGAAGAACACGTCAGTGAAGAGGAGGAAGAAGGTGCGTCAGTCTCCGAAGAACACAATTTAAGTCATAGTGATATTAAGGGTGCCATGGAGTGTGCAGAGAAGATGAAGTCCTTCCTTTCCCGCGACAATGACGATGACCGCTATGAAGTCTTCCATACCCGGCTGGTGCAGGCTATGGAGCCGTACATCAAGGTGTATCACGACAACATCAACGCCAGCCGTCAGCAAAGCATAACAGATTTCTTCGCCCGCAACCCACCACAGCCAGCCCAAGCCAGTGATAGTGGCAGTGAAGATGACTTTGAGGGATTTGTCAGGGAAGCCCTGACAACTGTAAGTGACAGTGATGGTGATTCACCTAGTAATGGTGATTCACCTGAGGGCCAGTAATCTGCCCTCTGCCTCGGAACCAGCCTCCATCCCTGTATGCCGACCCATCTCTTCTACTACCGTGAGTGTTACACCTAATTTTTAGTTTTCTAACCTAACCTTTATTTTTCCTATGTTAACCTTTATCTTTCCTAACCTAACCTCTTCTATATTACTTGTTTTTTAATACCATCATAAAGTTAAGATAAAATTTTTCCTACAACATAGTTGTGTGTCGTCAAAAAGTGGAGTTTGGGGATCGGCCCGGACTCCATTTCAATTAATCCCATATGTTATGTTATTCACTTTACGCGTTCCTCACTTTACACGGGACCCTCCGGGTTACATTAACCGCGTAAAGTGAGGGTTAACTGTATATATATATACGTACATATACACTCTTACTCTTAAATCACTACTGTAATGTGATACAGGTGATTAATTTTTATCTCTTGTGCAAAATATATATTTATATTTAAATTAATCACTGTCTTGCAAGGATTCCAGCAATGCAAATTATATTCTCCTAACTTTAGTCTGAGATATTATATAAGATAAAAACTGTAAGCCTAAAACCCTGGCTGGGCAGATGGGGAGAGGGGGGGGGGGAGCAGGAGGTGAGGTGGTACTTTTGACAGTTGGCGCCCAAGGTCTAATGTGTGTTTATTTATCAGTCCTTAAGTGACTAAGCTTATCTCTTATAAAATGCCATTGAAATGACCTGGGAGAATATAATTTACACTGCTGGGATTCTTGTAAGATAGTGATTAATTTGAATATAAACAAGCCATAATTTGCACTAGAAATAACAATTTTAGCACCGTAATCAATTTAGGACATGTACAGTCCAGCTTTGCACTAAGGTCATTTATTTCTTTTACATTTCTTTTAGTATGGTGTATACATGTAAATAAATGAAAATAAATGAAGAAATTTATGTAAATCTACCCAAAAATACAGTTGAAAAACTTTACTATTATAAAATGTAATACCTACTGTACACTAATGTAATACACTTTTTATCTCTTGTGCAAAATATATGACGTTTATATTCAAATTATTCGCTGTGTTGCAAGGATTCCAGCAATGCAAATTATATTCTCCTAACTTTAGTCTGTGATATTATATAAGATAAAAGCTTAAACCCTATTGTATAACCACGAAACCTTTGCTGGGAGGGAGGGGTGACAGTTAGTGCTGAAGGTCTAGTGAAGTACTTATTTGTTTATGTTGTTTAGATTGAGTTTTTGTTTTTTGCTTATAAAATTTCATAGAAGTGACCGGGGAGAATATAATTTACATTGCTGAAATTCTTATAAGATGGTGATAAATTTGAATGTAAACATGCAATAGTTTGCACTAGACTAAAATTTGGCACAAATATTAAAGAGCACAATTTTCTTGATATTTACTCCACTGGAAATGAATGTAAACATAGAAAAGATTAATGAATTACTGAATTGGCAGACTAGCCCATCAGCTGATGCTCACAACAAAACGTGATGTTCGTAAGGATTTCATTAATCAAATTTTTGTTCGTTAACCGATCAAGATTCTTATGGAGGGTAATTCGTTAACGGAAAATTCGTTAACCGAACCATTCATTAACAGAGGAACCACTGTACAGTACTGTACTGTGTACTGTACAATAATAATAAAAAACAATAGAATACTGTATTTTAACTTACTCTGAGGTGTGTATGTCGTATTCCCGGCGGCTTTGTTTACATAGCAAACAGCTGATTGTAGAGGCAGTCGATGATGACATGCCATATTCTTTATAGAGTGCATTGGTTCTAATACTTTCTTCATATTTCTTAATAATTTCTGCACTGTATATTAATAATATGTTAACTAAATTTAAGAATGACCAATAATTTTACTATAAAAATGCAAAAATATTCAAGAGACCAACAAACTTGATGTTCACTCCACAGTAAACAAAGTTAAACTGAGAAGCGTTGGAGGGTAAGTCGATCAGCTTATGGGCACATAAAAACTGTTCCCTGTACTGTATAAATTATCATTATGCTAACTAAATTACAGAATGACCAATAATTTTAATATTAAAAATGCAAAAATATTGAAGAGCACAACTTCCTCGATATTTACTCCACTGGAAACAAATGTAAACATAGAACCTATTATTGTATTAGCGGACTAGCCGATTAGCTGATGCGCACACCAAAGCGTGTTTCTCATAAGGCTGTCGTTAATAGAAGTTGTACTCTTAATAGAACTGAAAATCCTTATGGGATCTAATTCGATAACCAAAATATCGTAAATTGAACCACTTGTTAATGGAGGGACCAGTGTATGTATACAGACTAAATATTCAACAAGTGAAAATTTTTGCCTGTAATTTGCGAAGAAAAAAGAGTCTTACCATCTAAGGCTATATCAGCATCATCAATATTTTCATCATCGTCATCATCACCCCAGGCATCTCCAGCTATGTCACCCACATCATCAACTGCCATGGCTGCTGCTGCTCCTGCAGCACTCTTGCCACTAGCCACTGCTGTGTCAAAGAACCCCTATTGTTGAAAGGGGGAAAGTAGATTATTTTAGTTCTTAATAGGTCTATGAACACTTTGGGTTAATATGTAGAAGAAACTAATACATTGGAGTACCAAGCCAAAATACAGTATACAGGTAGACAATATTGTACCTTAATTCCTCAAAGAAAATATTTTTCCACCTTAAATACTGTACAAACTCTGTCTTTAAACGTACACACACTAAAAAGGAAGAGGAATTATCAATAAGAAGTACAGGTAGTCCCCGACTTACGACTGCTTGGACTTACGTCCATCGGTACTTACGACCTGCTCTGACCTTACGACCGTCGGGACTAACGACCGCCGCAGTTGTGACCATATTTTTTATTTATTTTTTTTAAATGATGCGCGCATTTTCTATACCGAAACGTTTCCAGTTAATGTAGTCTCCATGTATAATTAGAAAATTATGGGGGCCCCGTGTGCATTCAGCTGACTACATTAAAGGTAAGTGCTCAGTCACACTGTATCCATTCCTCATTATTTATTACTTTTACTGTACTGTATTTAATTGTAGATTTTTTTTTTAATTTGAATTTTTTTTTTTTTTTTATCTATGTCGGACTTACGACCTGGATTTGGGTCCCTAACCCCGTCGTAAGTCGGGGAGCACCTGTATTTGCTGTTTCCCTACTAATTATCTGTTGACATTTTTTAGCACTTCATATATAATTTTTTAATGTTAATAAATACAGTATTGTAACTAAAATACAAGATATTTTTTAAATACAGTACAGAAAATTTCTGTATTAAAAATTTTAGTTCTTTAATCCCTGGGCTTTTGGTCTATGGTAAGTGTTTGTCTAGTAATCTCTGAACATATCGAGATGAAACATACTTTTTGTGATCATGAGCAATTCATATAATAGGGAATGATTCATTATTTTTCTTAATACAATGCACAAATTGGGAAGTATAAAATAGTTACCATTAACAATCATCTCCAATTTAAGATATCTAACCCTTAAATGACTATTGGTCTGATGGGCAAAGATGGCAGTTTTAAAGAATGATTGAAAAAATGATTTGCTTACTGAATACAGTGGTGTAATCAGATTTTCTGTATGCATAACAAAAGCCATGAACAATGGGAGAAAAGGTACTGTATAATGAGCAGTTGGGAGGTTGGGGGTTATCAATTTATTGCTGCACATGCCAGATTTGAACCTGTTTTTATTAATTCATTATCATATTTATGTAAAAAAATTCTGTTGAATATGTGTGCACCCCGAAATTGAACATCCGCAAAACCTGAAGAGTCACATTGTAACTGGCATGCCTCATGAATGCAATGCTTTACCAATGAGTTTACATAATGTTTGCTGCAATGCTGTTAATCTGGTTTTGATCCAATCAGAATATAATTACCAGAGCATCCCCAGTTAGCTATTGTGATATTCCAAATGTGCAAGTATCCAATAATTCCAAGTATTACTGTACTGTACTTCCACAGTGAAACAATAGTAGAAAATTACATGCAACACACTACCTTCTTTCACTTATTCACTAATTCTTGCAGCAGATCTTTCATGAAGTGTGTTAAACAAGCAATGGATGCACTTGCATGTTAACTAAACAAGAACTAGAGACAGACATATAAATGGTAAAGGACACATTAGTTTCACATTAAGACAAGAGTAAAGGCAGTAAACATGGCTGTAGAAAGATCAACAAATACTGTTGGTAGAACTACTGAACTAACTTTAGCAACAGTGAGGAGTGGCCAGGCAGTGTCCATCGGTTGTATTGGTGCAGGTGGTTGTAGCAACTGGGCATTGGGAAGAGGTTCTGGAATAGCACCAGTCTCCACATGGGATGCAAGAGACTCGGCTTCCTGTCACAGTAAAAAAATGCTATTATTCCCTATTAATTCATTGCCATTTAATAATAATAATATGCCTTTACATGGTACTATGTATCTTCCATACTTTTTACAATTATTTTCAAATTGTTTACACATAGAGAACAGTATTTTCTCCAATTCCTTTTAGATATATTCCAAAATCTGACCTACATAACAAACAAAATTCCTCTTCCACATCCTTCAACAAATTCATTACATATCTTCCAAAATTCCTCTTACAAAATACAATATCCTCCAAAATTCAATTCAAAAACCCTGTAAAATTCCTCTACAGCTTTATCCTCCAATATCACCTTATTGCACCAACCCTAATTTACATACGTATCTTAAAATCTTTAGCCTCTGACCAGGGGCAGATCCAGGGGGGTTCCTGAGGGTTTGGACCCCCCTTATTCATCAGAAAATTACACTACTTTTTCTTTAATGTAGTACAGTACTCAGGCATTTTTGTATCGCAAAAAGTAATTACTATTAACCTCAGAATATCTCCTGTCAAGTGCACATGGCAATGTCCATTATATTGGTCAGATTTAAAAAAAAAACATTCTGGGGGGGACTTACTGCTTCCCCCCAAACACCCCAGCTGGGTGGGGGCTCACTGTGCGTGCTATGTTCCTCCACCCACAACTTCTTGGATCCCCCTTTTGATATTATTGGATCTGCCCCTGCTGACTTCTTCAGTGGTAAGCCAATGTAGACAGAGTAGCTAATAACACCATGTATAAATAATAATAAAAACACGTACAAGTTTCTATAAATACAAACTTTCTGTAATAGAGTCTACAGTTTGTATTTCTCAACAGCAAACATCCAAAAGCATATAAAATACTTCCTGTCCCTCTCATACATACCACGATTACAGTAATGTAGAACTGGGTGTTGTCACTTATTCATCTCTGCTATTTTTTACTTGATATTTCACAAAAAAAAATTTAGCTCACTATCTACAGTGTCATGTTTCATACAGTTTAAGACAGTGAAATACATCAAGCAAAGTAGTACCTGTACCACCCCCATCAGATTGATTCTAATGGTGTAGCAGGGATTTCCTAGTAATCTCTACCACCACCTTGACATCTTGATATGCACTGCCTTTCAGAACAAAGTGGAAGTTGGTTTGAACAAGCAGCACACTTTGCACTAAACACAATATCTCTGTCTTGTTAAGAATCAATCCCTTGTTTAAACAACATAATATTTTGTTTGAAAATATTATTCAACAGGAAAAGTTAACATCACTAACCTGAGTGTGCCCATGAGTGGCAGCTGTCAGAAGTGCTAAAGACGTCTTACCACATGCCTTCAAGACCCTAATGCGTTCTGGTACATCTCCCAGATAAAGAGCATTGGTGTACCAGCCCTCATAATCCTTACGGATTTCATTGATCTTCATCATGCGTCGCAGCTTGGCCAAATTTCCAGTGATAAGGTAGAGGAAGGACAGTTTATCATAGTTCTTGGTCTGCTGGTAGCAGTACTCAACAACCTGAAAAATACCAAGTTATTCTACATATAATACATTGACAAACCAAATAATCCAAACTATCAATGCATAGCAAAGATACTGTCAAATTCTTCACCGAGTGACCTGATTCCTCCTTGTAGGATGCCAACTTAATAATAGAACTAATGAGTAGGTTTGGACACACACAAAGCCTATACAGGGTATACAGTAATCTGCCCATTACCGTAACCGGAATCTCTGGTCCCAGGAACTCTCCAATAGCTGGAATAAATTTTGAGCCTTCTGGGAAATTCTCGGAAAACTCTCTCCATTTCGGGGATGGTAACAAGTTCCCGAAGATGAAATCATGCGCATTTCTTGAATAATTCTGAGAAAATCTGTTCTGGACATGGGAAAATTTTTTCCACGAGTTCAGATTGCATGCTCTGTCGCGTCCCCACATGCTGGGCGCATGGGTGGGCTAGTTGCTTGGGTAACTTAGGTAGCAGGCTTTTGCACTTAGTTCATATTCTGCTGCCATTGTACAAGGTTGTTCCTTCACTTGCTGCTGTTTTTTCATATATGTGTTGTGCAGTACTGTACGTTAATGTACCAGGACACAATCAGCCAAGAATACAGTTAACCCTCTCAGCCTCACACTATGCCATCGTGGCGTCGAACATAAAAGGTGAAAAACTTACGCTCAGAGTCGCGACGTCAACGTGGCGTACAATGGGTTATATTTTCGAATAACTCAAAAACTATTTAGTGAAACTGACTGAACTTTGGAGGCCATTTGACAGATGTCATTTTCTTTGTGTGGGCCTTATTACCTTCCCTGAGACGGTCTTGGTCATGGTGTGCGTGGCAGCGCAGCATGAAGCCAGTGTTGTTCTGGCCATTAGAGCGAGAGGAGGGTGTGCCGCTCAACTCTTTAATTATTCCATGAGTTTTTGTGTTAGATTATTTTTCCCGTTACAAACCTTATACCACGATATTCTATCTCAGGCTCCGAGGCTGAGAGGGTTATACAGGGTAATGTAAAATGTAATTAGAGTTATGTACAGTATACTGTACTGTACATTCATTAAGTGTGAAAGTACTGTACATAGCAGAATGGACAGTGCATGCCTACTGTAGGTTAGTGTGCAATGGTGTATGTACAGTAATACTCCGATTTACGCGGTTTCGCTTTACGCGTTTCTACATTTACGCGGTACCTAGCCAGAACCGGAATTTCATTTTACGCGGTGCATCTACTCATATACGCGGGTGAAGTATAATTTTTTTTAGCTCATAAAATTCATACAAATTACCCGGCCAGAATATAATTTACAATGCTGGAATTCATACAATATGATGATCATTTTGAATATAAACATCATGGATTTTGCATTAGACATACAAATTTTAGATCTAATGTAATAATTTGTGCAAAATATATGAAGTTTACATTCAAAATATTCCCTGACCTGCAAGGAATCAAGAAATGTCACTTATATTATCCTAACTTTAGTGTGAGGTATTATTTATTAATATTCCTTAAAATCTAGTGTTTTCACCCAAACATTTCTCAGAAAGGTAGGAGCCAGGGAGCAAGGGAAGAGGGGGGGTTGAGTCCATTATTTGAATGGACATTAACCTGGCGACTGTATTTCTCTTAAATATTAATAGCGTGTGCATACCATCATAAAATTAAGATGTTATTTTTACTACAACATAGGTATTGTGTCGGAAAAAGTGGAGTTTGGGGGTCGGGCCAGTCTCTATTGGAATTAATCCTATATGTTCTGTTATTTCATTTATGCGGTTTCGTTTTACGCGGTACCCCGTGGGTTCAATTGACCGCGTAAATCGGGGTATCACTGTATAGTATACAGTGTGTGTACAATCCCTCCTTCATAGTGGGAGAGGATAGTGACAGTTAGCAACACCTGCTACAGTAGATGGTACAGGACAAAGGCAGGCCATCCTGTATCATCATATCACCATTTGGCCTGCCTGCATCACAAGCCCAAGATGACAGCATCTGTTGATGAGTAAAGTATAATGTAGTGTATACAATACAGTAATATCTCTGTTAGCCGGAATCCCTCAAAACCTGGAACTCTCCAATAGCCGGAATTAAAGTTCGCTTGCAATTTTTACGGAAAATTCCCAACATTTTGGGTTTGGGAACAAATTCTGAGGTTGAAAATGAGGAGCATTTGAAGAAAAAGAAGAAAAAGAAAAAGAAGAAGCAAAAAGAAGAAGAAAAAGAAGAAGCAAAAAGAAGAAGAAGGAATCCGGAAAATGTAAAAAATTTTATTTCTGGGTCTAGGTGCAAATAACGATTATGAAATAATGCGCAATTACCAGAAAATCTAAGAAAATCGCGAGAAAATCACTCCAATCCTTTCTGCTCAGGGCCTGGGGACAAGGGTTCCCGGCATTATGAAAGATTGAATTATGTTTAGCTGCATCCTCACATGGTTGGTGCATGGGTGGGAAGACCAACTGCTTGGGTAACGTTTGTTTCTTCTGCTCATGATCAATTTTTTTTTTTTTTTTTTTACGGGGATTAGCCCACCCGGGCACAGGTAACTGACCCACATCAGGGCCTGGGGTGCAAAAATGTAATTGTAATAATAATAATAATTCATATCAGATAAAATTTATAATAATAAAAATACAAAATTAAAAATAAAATAATAATTCATAGTAAATAAAATTTATAATACAAAATACAAAATTAAGAATAAAATAATAATAACAATAATAATGATAAAGAACCATAAAGAAATGCAAAAATGAAAAAATCAATAGTAAGAAACAATACTGTACAGTAGAGTCTGGATTTACGCGGATTTTTTTTACTCGTTTGGTCATTTACGCGGCACCTTGCCAGAATGAAATGTTTTAATTACACGGTAAATTTCATCATTGACACAGGAAGCGGCACGGTCATCAAAACATTACTGAGTTCTTCACCCACCACAGCCGGCCCAAGTCAGTGATAGTGAGGATATGGACTTTGAGGGGTTTGACAAAGAGGCCCTGCAAGCCTATGTGGTGGATAGTGATACAAGTGACACAGGTGAGGGCCAATAATCTGCCCTCTGCCTCGGAACCAACCTCCCATCCCCGTGTGCCCAGCCATCTTTTCTACTAACGTAAGTGTTAAAAAACCAAATATTATTTATATTTCTCTTAACTATAAATTGTGTGTGCATACCATCATAAAATTAAGATATTTTTACTACAACGTACGTATTGTGTCGGAAAAAGTGGAGTTTGGGGGTCGGCCCAGTCTCTATTTCAATTAATCCCATATGTTCTGTTATTTCGCTTATGCGTTTCTCGTTTTACGCGGACCTCCACAGGTTCAAATGACCGCGTAAATGCAGACTATACTGTATATGTATGTTGTGTTGTCAAATTAAGAGAAAAAATTGAGACCCTGCAATTGTGTGTAAAAGGGGCAGAAGGTCAGATCAGCAACCTGGGACTTGGTCAAAATTTTTCTGATGCCATATAGGAGCAGTGTCTACCATTAGACAACACATTATGCTTCCAATATCTTCCCAGGCAGTAGTACCTCCCAGTGCAAATATAAATATTTCTTTAAATGTGCATACAATATTAAAAAGTAAAATAATACAGTAATAAATCAATGTAATTCTGAGCTGAACTAACGAAGCAAAGGGTGAAGTGACGTGGTTAGGTGGCAGGCCAAGACACTTACACAGAAAATACATTAACAGCACTACTAAACCATAGTCTCATAACATTTTACTTTACAATTTCTATTTTAAAATGAATTGATACATGATGGGTCGATTTGGCTACTTAGCACTTACACAACTGGTCAGTGAATAAGCCAGGGCATATGGACACACATTATACACAAGTGATGTCACAAAGTTTCGCAACCACAACTTCTGAGCAACCACATAAATTATCACAACCTGTAATCAAATGTACTAAGTTAATTACTAAAATTATTATGTCTAGTGCAAACTAAGGGATGTTTATACTCAAATTAATCGCTTCTTGCAAGAATTCCAGCATTGCAAGTTATATTCTCCTAAGTCAAGTCAGTGCCATTTTACAAGTGAAAAAATTAAACCCCTGCCTTTTATGATCCTCGAGTCCCTGACAACTACGAAGTATGCATTAATCTCCCCTCCTGGCTGTCAATACCCCACCTTCCCCTCTCCCCTCCTTCCAGCTAGCCAGGGGAGGCAGATAGGGTGGGTGAAGGTTGTTTTAGGTTTAAAGTTTCCTTATTAAATGTCAGAATTGACTTTGCAGAATATAACTTGCATTACTGAAATCCTTGCATGATAGCAATTAATTTAAGTACAAACACCTCATAGTTTGCACAAGTGCTAATTTTTTTTTAGCCTTTTAGCATAGTACATTTGAATACAGTAATTTGTTGCTCAAAATTATTATGACACACCACACACACACACACACACACACACACACACACACACACACACACACACACACACACACACACACACACACACACACACACACACACACACACACACACACACACACACACACACACACACACACACACACACACACACACACACACACACACACACACACACACACACACACACACACACACACACACACACACACACACACACACACACACACACACACACACACACACACACACACACACACACACACACACACACACACACACACACACACACACACACACACACACACACACACACACACACACACACACACACACACACACACACACACACACACACACACACACACACACACACACACACACACACACACACACACACACACACACACACACACACACACACACACACACACACACACACACACACACACACACACACACACACACACACACACACACACACACACACACACACACACACACACACACACACACACACACACACACACACACACACACACACACACACACACACACACACACACACACACACACACACACACACACACACACACACACACACACACACACACACACACACACACACACACACACACACACACACACACACACACACACACACACACACACACACACACACACACACACACACACACACACACACACACACACACACACACACACACACACACACACACACACACACACACACACACACACACACACACACACACACACACACACACACACACACACACACACACACACACACACACACACACACACACACACACACACACACACGACACACTGACACCACAACACACACACACACACCCCAACACAAACCCCCCAACACACACACAAACCCCTCTAACACCCCACACACACACACACAAACCCCAACACCACACACACAAACCCCCAACACCCCAACATCACACACACAAACCCCCCAACACACACACACAAACCCCCTAACACCCCAACACTACACACAAATCCTAACATCACACACACACACACAACCCCCCAACATCACACACACAAACCCCTCTAACACCACACACTACACACAAACCCCCAACATCACACACACACACACACACACACAAACAAACCCTAACACCCCAACACTACACACAAACCCCCAACACCCTAACACTACACACAAAACCCCCAACACCCCAACATCACACACACAAACCCTCTAACACCCCAACACTACACACAAACCCCCCCAACACCACACAAACAAACCCCCCCCAACACCCCAACACCACACACCCCTAACAAGGGTATTAAGACAGAATGCATGAGGAGTGGGGGTCTAAGTGTATGAAAAATTTCTGCATGGTAGTGAGTTAAATGTCAGCTGTTGAGCGCTTGGCAACACTCATTTCCACTCCATCTCCCTAATTACCCACATCTTTCTGCTTTCTCACTCCATATTTTAAAATGTTATGTAACATAATGTTGAAGGTATACAACTTTGCTCATTTATACTTATACTTATTACAAACTCCCTAAAAATACTTTAGGTTTTGTGTTTATTGAAGACATCTTCAGGTCATGAGACCCACTAATCCCCCACACTAAATCTACCGGACATTGCGTCAAGTCAGATCAGTTACACGAGACCTAGTAATCCCCAACAGCTACATGGGAGTGAAAAATAACAGTCTTTGATCTAACACACAGTTTAATTCATGCCCATATCATATTGATTTTTTATTTTTAAATATACTTATTTTACCAACCATCTTGATAAACTATTCTGGATGGTTATAGTAAAGAAATGGAGTTTCTAACTTAATTAGAACTGCATTTACGGACTCCGGTAGTTTAGACTCGAGGAAAACATCTCCAGCACCCAGAAATGCTCTGGGGAAAGGGCTAATGTCTGCCTGTGCAAGATGTCGAGTTTAGACACTTGGAAATTTTTCCCAGTAACCGGAAAAGATTCCGGGGATAAGGAAATTTTCCTGGTTTGAGAAAGTCGTCTGGTTAGCCGGAAATCTCTCATCCCCGGAAGTGCTCTGCACCAATTGTTCCGGCTATTGGGGATATCATTGTATTCTGTTTATTTACAATATATTTTATGAGTACAGTGGTGTTTGCATAAATAAAGACAGCTCTGTGTCTGTCTGTGTGAGATGCATAGTTTAAACTTTTGGAAAACATTCCGGGGATGTGCAATTGTGTCTGTTCGTACAAGCTGCATAGTTCAGACTCTCAGAAACCTTTCCCTAGTGACTAAAAAAAGAACTCGGAACCAATTATTCCAGCCAATGGTGATATCACTAATTGAATAAGTTGAAAATTTGACTAAAATTCACATTTTCTTTAAACACAGCTGTTGTTCACACTTTTCTTATAAGGAACAATATACAGGGTACTGTGGAATTGGAACCAAAAATAATTAAAGAAAATAATTTATGTTAGTTTTCAGGTCAGATACACTTTATTTCAATTTTTATATTAAAGAATGTTGGGACTAATCCCTGAAACTTTAAGATCTAACATGGCAAACATGTACAGTAGTATGTTTTGTACTCAGATTCATATTGTAAATTATGAAAACAGTATAAGGAAAAGTGTGTGGAATAGTTCTACTTGCTGTTTCAGCCCTTAACTTTCCCTGTCTTGAATGTTTATCTTCCACCTTAAAAAACAACATTAAATACAATACCAAAAATTAAGGTAATTCCACCAATGTAGGCAGTGCCTTCAAAAGAATACACAACACTTCTGATATACTGTACATGTATTTGAGTTTCAAGAAATTTCAGAACAAAGAACACAAGACAGGGGTGCCAAACTTACAGGGTGGTTTCCATGCAAGAGAGCATGTTCTGCCAATTTCTCCCAGCATCCTTTATCATCCAGGGCTTTTGCAGCATCTAGAGCTACATCAATATTACCACATTCCAGAGCCAAAAGGAATCGTGTACGCTCGTCTTTGACAAAGTGAAGGGCCACTTCAGGGTAACCCTTCTTCTGCAAGTATGCAATGATGGACTGGCCAACCAACTTGGCTCCACGAACCATTTGTAGGACCTAAAATAAAGGTTGAAAGTCATATCTAAATTATTCTAAAGCCATGTACTCATGTCTATGAGAAGATATTAGGAGTGAATAAAATCACGGATTTTACTCAAAATGGTGTGAGCACTATTTGAAATTATTGTGGAGTATGGTGGCACTATGATGGACCTACACTTGAGATGGGTCTATCTACTGAACTACAGCACACTTACTTTCTTCTTTAGTCTAAAAATGGAAGGACAAGCTTTAAAAAAAACTGGACTTCTTGTATAATCTTAAAAACTGTAAACTTAATGTAAATATTCATAATGAAAAAAAAGTGTGATGGCGATTCAGAATTCTAAAAGACTAAAGAGAAAATTCATTTTTTGGCATTCACATAATTCTTCACCCAAAAAGTTGATCATGCTAATTTTGGATTAACCAATTAGAACAAAATCTCTAATTGACTACGGTATATAATTTTCAATATAGTGACTGGGGGAAAATCCAATTGCCGGCTGATTACGATCTAAGAGAACAGATTAACTTTGAAATCCTACTTGAAAAACCAACAGGTAGCTGGGTTACATGAGTAAAACTATAGGGCAAAGACCAAAGAAGCCCTAAGCATGAGTACCTCGTGTATAAAAGGTGCACTATGTCCCTAAAAAAGAACTTTCCTGATGTAAAACAATACATAGCCCCAAACCATTCAAACCATCTCACAATTAATAAACTTAAGTTTCATCCAGGAAATGAAGAAAACTCAACACTGCTCTGAATGTAAATCTGAATATCTTAACTAAAACAAGTTCTAACCAACAATGACTACTGTACTCTGTTTTTTAAAACTAAGTTAATAAACCATCAAGACTCTACACATGTGAGACTACCATTCTGTGCCACCATAATTCAACTCGTGACCATATTTGCCTCATTTCAGACCTTGATAAATTATGAATATTGTCAACATCCATGAAGACATAACATAATATTTGCTGCACTGCTGTACAGAATTGATATCCAAACATTAACAGAAATAATAATACAATTATTAAAAAATTCTCAGCATTCAATATATACTCACCCATGTACTGCATAGAGCCAAGATATCCAAAAATTCTTATCTATGAACCTTTCCAAGTGTAATTTTGAGAATATAAAGGCAGTGCACTTCTTTAAAAAATAAAATAAAAATTATCATTACCATGTGTTCAAATGATAAATGTGATACATTCTATCTTTCGTTACACCCTTATTTACCCCCACCAAGGGTTCTACTATATTATATACATAATATAATAACCAACCCTTCAAGAAAGGTCTGCAAAGATGAAATAACATAAGTGAGGAAACCCCTGACCAAAACAATGTTGGCTACTATGTATGAATCTACCTAAATTCTTAATACTATAAAGAAACATCAGTTTCAGTTTCAATCTATCTAAAAACGAAAAGTAAAACAAAGGTACAGTATAACATAAACTTACTTCATCATATTTGCGCTGGACAAGAGCCAATTTGAAGCGGAATTCCGTTGAATCAATGGTAAGGACACGAGGGGTTGCTTGACGATCTAGACAGTATACTGAGCTACCAGACACCCGAGTCACATACACTGGCAATTCCAGTGTGCGAATAATGCCATGGTCACCATTTGTCAGTGCATACTGTGGGAACAAAAATTTTTTTACTTGGTAGTCCTGTCATTAATCAAACTATGAGACATGATGAGAACCAATGGCTTTTTAATCACTAGGTTACAAAATACATCACACAGCTGATTACTGCACTTGTGCCAAATGCAACTCTAATTGTGACATTAGAAAACAGAGGTTCAGCAAAGTTAATCAAGCTCACCTTTATGTGATTGCTTGTTGTGTACACAAATACTCCACTATCATCCCAGGAACCAGATTTAACCCTGTTATTCTCAGCGATGGAACAGAGGCGTTCTAGTTTGCGGTTACAGATGAGTATTGTTTGCTTGGACAGTAATGCCACAGTGGTCATATTGGCAGACCACACAACATAACGGCACTTGGCAATGCGAGCTGTTCCCAACACTCTGAGGAGTAAATGAACTTGTTAATTACTAGTATAGAGCTACAGTATATCTTAACATTGTTTTAAATAGTATTGGTTAATGAATGATGGTCTTAACACTAGTACTTGCCTCTTCTGCTGAACATCAAAGAGAGACACACCATCACTATCCCTAAGCAAGAGCATGCCAGTGCCAGCATAAAATATCTCATCACACGGGGGAGTTGTCACTTTCTTGGTCACTTCATTCTGCATATTCTTGATCACCAACTGGAGAAACATGACATTTAAATGTTTAGTCGCAAATAAATACAAAATACTAAAAAACTTAAGTTTTATCAAATTTGAGAGGATTCTTATCAACTTTTGAAACTTATTTACACCTTCTCTGTGTTTGATACTAACTATAGTGTAGTGTCAGTGACATCTAATACTCCAAAACAAATACTTACCTGATGGCTCTTGTCCATAACAGCAAAGCGGTTCCTTGCAACCCATACAGCTGTCAGCCCAGCAGACCTCTTGGAATCTGGGGAGTCAGGGTTCTGTGGGTCTGTATCCTTGGGGATCTGAAGCACCAATTTGCATTAGAAAGATATTTCTAATTTATTAAATAGCAATATTTACATATCTGAAGCTTTGTGTAGGTGTGTCAATCACTGTAGTTTTGTGTAGGTTTGTGTCAATCACTAGTTTTGTGTAGGTGTGTGTGTCACTCACTGTAGTTCTGTGTTGGCGTATGCCACTCATTGTAGTTTTGTGTAGGTATATGCAGAGTTGTAAAAAGTACTGGATTTTGTTACTTAAGTAAAAGTATTGTTACATTGGCAAAATGTTACTCAAGTATAGAAGTAAAAGTATCCAAATGTCAATGTACTGAAGTAGAAGTACTGAAAGTAAAAAGTAACAACAAAATTATTATTTGTCTCAAATATTAAAATAAATCCACAGTAAATAAAAAAAAAAAATAGTTAACTTAAGATAAAAATAAAAGCCACAGCTTTACACATGTTTATTTGCAAATCTTTCTATTAAGATTAATCAATGACCGATTCTCAAAATCATGGTTGTCCAATCAGGATCTTTTAGGCCTAAATATAAGCCCAGCATGACTTACCAAAAGAGAATACATTCAGCCACTCTTCTCCCTACAATCACTTTCTTCCTTATCCACACAAGTATCGTCGACGTGGACTTATGGTCAGCAGACATAATGTTGTTTCCGCTCGCATTAGGTTAGGAGACCTATCTGCCATGTATATGAGGTGGGGGATGACCCACACTTCTCTTCCTGTAACTGTCCCAATGCTAACACCCTTCAACACTATTGCCATGACTGTTCCACTGTCGGGGACCTCCTACCACAGGGAGTCATTTATTAGTAATAACTTAAATTTAATTTTTGTATGCTACCCATGCTTTGGTGGGTGCTTATTCCCATTGTCCTTAAATAACATCAATATTGTCTCCATATCACAAATCATAGCGTGTCCTACGAGAAATGAGTACCAATGTATTAGTGTCTGACCGCATGGTCTTGTGACTAGGCTTGTCGTCCCATGGGGTGTAATTAATTAATTAAACATTAAATAATAAGCCAGCATGACTAAACAGATGCTCACAAGCAGCAGATGCAGGTAGTGGGGTGTTGAGCTTCAGAGATAAGACACAATATCAGAAAAACCTTGGTAGCTCCATTCCATCCCCTGGGCATTCCAAGTAACTATCAAGCTCCTTCAGTTGAGGAGTTTGTGGATGATTGTTGCCTACATAACCTACATAATGACTTAGTCTGACTAAAACTCACTGTGAACTATCCCTCTTATTGGGGTGTGGCTGTGGTGATGTCACCCTTCGATTCTAATTGATGAGGGGCTGAATTTTTCGCACCATGTAACATCCGGCGGGTGCTGGCGAAGGGTACTTAGTAGTACTTACTTATTTAAGCAGAACTTTAAATACACTCAGTCTCACACACAAATATATACAGGCATCCCCCGCATTACGGAAGCCCGGGTTACGGAATTTCGCTCTTACGGAATTTGTAAATTATGACCAATAATTTCGTGTTACGGCCAGTAAATCCGCCTTTACGGAAATTGGGGTAAATTTTAACAAACACAAGGCCTCACACATGCCATTCAGACTGACAGACTTGACAAGTTTTACCAACCATAAAGACAGTTGAAGCTTTAAACATCACTCACAATGAATCTTGAATATTCCAACTGTAATCAGACATACCTAAGTTGCCTCAACAATTGCAACCCCAGTTGCAATATCAAATTCTGTGTCACCACTAAAAAATAAAACAGTAGTCCCTGGTGCACTCTTAAGATTAAGAGAAAACGGACGACTCAGGCAGCCTTCTTGAAGTGAGAGAAAACGGACTCCTATGACGGGGCACTCAAATAAACATACACATAGCTGTATAATGCAATATTAACCCCTAAATTGGTGTTTTAAGAAGGTATATCATAAATTATTTAATGTACTGTATTGTATGTGTTTATAAATGTTTATTTTCATTAATAAAAGTGCTTGAATTACTTTTTTGGGGCCGAAAAAATTCCTTTGGAACGCATCTCCAGTTTTATAATGGAAGTCAATGGGAAAATATGTTTCGTGTTACGGAATTTCGCGATACAGTCAATTTTCCGGGAACGGAACCCTTCCGTAACGCGGAGGATGCCTGTATATGTACTTTATATAAAAAATGAAATTATGTAAAGCATTTTAGAATCACAGCCTCTTTGAAATTCATTTTAGGTACAGGTATATGCAAAGAGCAACCAGCATCTAACGGAAAAGTGGGGGAGAAGAGAGGAGATTCGATGGGGGAGGGGGTATACGAGGGTAGGCTAGGTGAGGTGGGTAATCAAGGTGAGGCAGAGTACTGCGCTCATATCTGGGGTGGCTCTTCTTCTGTCCAACTGTTAAATAGGGTGGAATCAAAGGCATTTCATCTTTTTAACTCTCCTTCTTTAGTTGATAATCTTTCTTCCCTTTCTCTTCGCCGCAATGTTGCTTCACTCTCTCTTGTTTACAGGTACTTTAACGGGCATTGTTCGGTGGATTTGGCATCCTATGTACCGCCGGCACGGCCGTGGGCTCGTAACACTTGTCTTGCCCACGGTGACCACTGTTTTTCTGTGGATGTCGGTCACACTAGAATAACCTGTTACAGTACCTCCTTCTTTCCTCACACAGCCAAACTGTGGAATGCTCTGCCTTCTTCTGTGTTTCCATATTCATACAACCTGTCTTACTTCAAAAAGCTGGTTTTCCGGCAACTTCGTGGTGTAGATAGTATAATCTTTTTCTTTTCTATTTATAATTTCTTTCCGCTCTTATTTTCTTTGCCCCCCAGGCCCTGTTGTGGCTCGATGACCTGTGCCTGGGTGAACTAACCCAAAATGAAGATTCTTATGGAAGGTAGTTCGTAAACCAAGGCGTTCGTTAACCGAGGGACCACTGTAGTTGTATTGTAGGGTAGTATTACTGTAAAACATGGCTATGATTATGTAATAAATGTATTTATTTGTGGAATTATTATTATTTTATGCATTACTTGCTCTACCAAACACAAAGACAGCCAGGCAGACTGGCGACCGACTGGTGAGTGTTGCCAAGCACTTTTTATGAAAAATAATGCAAATAAAATATTCTAAATGAATTATTTATAGCAAATAATTATTAAGATTAGTAAATACAGGTATATACATTATTGGTCACCTCAGACAAAAAAGCGAGCTTAAAATAGCTGCTAAGTGCGGAGGGACCATGAGTGTCAGCTGTCAAACCAACACGGTCTCCTTATCCCCCCCTCCTCCCTCCACGCAGCCAGGGAAGTTTCTAGCAGGTCAATATATAGTTTTTCTTCCTCATTTTTTTTATTGTTTTATAATTTTAAAAGGTTAAACATTATTTTTGGAAAAGATGATTTTTCTCGACTTACCCGCGATCAGGGGTGGGGAGGGGTGTGTATTGCCACCAACACCTTAACCTGGGGCTTAAGGGTTAAGACCATCAAAATGGGTTATTTACTCTCTAATTTGATGGCAATTAGAGCTAAATATTTACCTGATACAAATCATAGTTGCTGTTATCCACATTGTGGGTGCGAGTGGTGAGAAGGACAGCATTTTCTGCAGGATTAAAAGACATGCTATACACAGGAGCGCGGGAACCTGCACGCAACTGCATCACTGCAACATCCCTGTAAAAATGCAGGAAATCTCACTTTATGCATGATATTCAATGGCCTGCTGCATTATGCATACAATTTGGACAAAATAGATTGAAACATTTCTAACATTCTAACAAACAATACAGTAGTACAGTACCTCAATATACCGGAATAATTGGGGCAGACCCCCATTCGAAAAAAGCAAATCTATGGGATTGGGGTGTGGAGAAAACACTGCTTATCTGGACAGTTTCAAGAAAATCAATTGCAGTTATAATGTTATTAGCTACTGCATTTCAAACCCTAAAGTCTAAGTGCATAACAAGGTTAGTAAAACACGAGTGTATCAACAATAAAAAAACAGTAATGAGACAACTGTAAGGGTTGGAAATCAGACATAATTGTTTGTCGACAGCTGTTTTAACAGAGATGATTGTTACGTACTGTAAAGTGTCATATATAAGTAACCACAGAATTTGCCTTATGAATAAAGAGAAAACTGTATACTGTACAGTACTACAAAGATAAAAATGAGAATACTGTAAATAAGAGCATCGAGGTATAGTATGTGGAGGGAGATGAGTGTATCTGGGAGCAGCAGGAAGGGAAGGGGGGGGCATTCCCTCCCCCTCTCTCCCCCAAAATCATATTAACACATCTTCATGCAATTTAACCATGATTCTCATATAATTTAGGTTTATTTGGTGCCAGGTTGATAAAATATTATTGTAAAATAATCACATTTTCCAAAAAAAAAGAAACCCTCGAGTCATTTGTTTACAAAGGGCAAACAGCTAATTGGCCTAGCTACCTCACTACTCATGCCTACCACAACATGTGTTCAGCACTTAGTAAATTAGTACTGTTATATATTTATTATCACTTAATAAATACTATTGCTGTGTACTTATCAGTATACTTAATAAACAATACTAAGTACAGTATAGTGTATTTTACACCTGCATATTTCCTAGTTTATTCATTAATTAGTTGCCTGATCATACAAGTAGTCAAATTGAGCCATCGTGTATCACTCAAAGGTAATAAATAATGTTTTTAGGAAAGTAACTCCATATCAAATACTATACGGTATGTTATAGTAATCCTGTTGAAAGGTGATTTGCTTTAAGCTTTCACACGAATGGATCCCGAGTAAATACCTTCCGATACAGCTTATCCTTTTATTTTGAAGTCAAATTGAAAATTACATATTATATTTTTTTCTATTATTGAAGATGTTATATTAATCATGATGAATCATAAACCATAAGAGGCTTATCATAGGAGAATATAATACTGAATCAATAAATAAACCTGACAAAAGTGGCAATGCCCAAACAGTCCCAGCCCCCGCAAAACCCCAGCCTACTTACATGCAGTGTCTTACCTCTCGTTAGGCCCAAGGCCTATAGCAGATCTGATCAGACCACTGTATACAGCATTCAGTGAGCAAGTGTTTTTCTTTTTATAATATTCTGTATATATTTGTTATATTTTACACATTTCTTAAAATACATACTGTATGTATATTATGTATGCTGTATGTATATTATGTATGCTGTATGTATATTATGTATGTGCTCCATTTATATACATTATTATTCAGCCTAGCTAGCAGTGTGTGGCAATGTATTTACCATGTCCCACACGCTTAATTAAAGTGCCTGGCGACATATGGGAGCTGTTAATGTATCACTTGCCACATGTCGCCTAGAGGCTAGTTGACCCCCCAGACAGAGTAAGGAGTGCCACCTCGCTTGTGTATCTCTGTTTATCCAGGAAATAGAACCTACGAAAACTCTACAGGTGTTTGTGTTCGCTCCTGTAGATAGAACTTGATACCCAGAACACATGCACATACAGTACTTTACATTATATTAACCCAATTCTTAAAACCCTCGTATATCCCTGTTAAAAGATATTACATGCTCTACAGAAAAAGTTACACGTAAAAATGAGCTTAAGTTCACCGATATGATACACATGAAGGCAGGACTCCGAATGAGACACACGCAGTGCAAAACCCACGCACAGACTCTCAATTGCACGTATGAACATACAAACCATACGGACTAATGTTGGATTTTCCAGACTCTTTAAAATATTTCTGGTGAACAGAGGGGCAGTCTGGAGCACCTTGGAAAGTGCGAAAAAAGCAAATTCGACTGTATTAAAGTCTGGTATATAGAAGTTTTATTGTACTGTATACAGTAGAACATGTCAGGACAAGCCTACCAGTGTCCTGGTAAGATACAATATCTGTGTGGATACTGTTAAAACTGTTAGCCTGAGCCAACAACAGTCTTTTCAACAAACTTGAACCAGATCAAGAGGTGGCTACATGAAGATTATCACTTAAATGGATGAATATATTTTCAAAGTAACTGTAGGGTGAGCAATTATGTTTTAGCACACTTACTAACCTACACTTACATCACCTGGTCAGTGACAAAGCTGAGTAGAGGGAAATTATCCAGCAACTGAAGTGTATGATCTTTTGGGGGGCTGATGGTAGATACAGTACAGATGTGCAGAATTTAAGAAACCTACTTGTTTTTGGTCAAATCAAGACGACGGAGAAAGCGCTCCTTCACATAATACAGAAGGTTGCCGTGTAAGGCGTAAGCAGGTCTCTCTCGCTCCAGCTGCAATAACAAAGAGCAATTATTAAATATTGAGCAGTTACCTTTGCTGATCTTTCTTACATTCTAAAGTAAAAGCTGTGAAATAATGTTGCAGGCTATGGATTTTTTTTCTTTTTTTAGTAAAGTTTAAGTTGGTCTAAGCCACTAAACACTAACCTCACTCAATCATAATAAATGTTCATAAAATTGCAAAAGATCTAAATAAACCTAAGCAAATAACGAGAAAGGAGTGAATACAGCAAACAATGCATCATGAAAACTGTAATACTGGATTCAGCTGTACAAGTGAACCTTACCCAAGAATGTCTTTTTATTTTAATACCTACACCTTACATATCAGATGTAGTGCCATATTCATAATCGGTACGCCATCCGACCAATCGGGAACAGTGTAGGGTGAGGTCATTCAGAGACGACACAGACCCGAAGGCAGTCCCAGTGTATCGGGATAGCTGGAACATTTCATGAGGAAGGGGTACCCACGCTATGACAATCCCGATGAATATAAAAACCCTTTTCATCCACCAAATTTTGATATATTGAGATAGAATATAATCAAAACCGATAGAAAATGTGTTTGTTGGTGACAAAGTTGTTTCCATATACTGTACAATACATTCAAAGATTAGCCTTTATTCACAAGTGTTGAATAGTCCCAGCTGATCATGTGTGTGCAGCCGTACATAACAAACACAGAGCTGCTAAATATACGAGGAATGCAGGCAGGATTTTAAAGAAAAAACATTTACTTGCAGAGATATGTCAAGGCACCTGCACATTCATATACCTGTACATGATGACTGATGTTCCAAGGGTAAGAAATGTAAATTTCATATAGCAAGCACAAATTACCAACGAAATGAACAATGTTTTAGATCAACTAAGTCAGCCTCATCACAGAGGAGTGTGACTCTATTTAAAACCTTATATATTACAGTATTTTTAAGTGGCGCTGCAGCTGAAAACCAACCAGGACACAATTTTCAAGGATGGGTAATTCAATAATTTACAAACTATAACAGTTTTGTGAAATGCTCATGAGGCTACAGAATAAATGTGACTAGGTTAGGTTAGGAATTCTTAGTTGAGTAGCCACTTGCTAAAAGGTAAGACTATATTTCAGGATGAATGAAAAAGTGCCTTTTTTGTATAACTTTGCCCTTCTCTTGAATAAGGCTAACAAGAGCACTGTGCTGTTTAAAGGACAACGGTATGCTCCATTCATGGTTATCCATATTTCCTGAGCCTTTCCTGCTCTGTGTTGTGGCAGCTGACTCAAGGTACACCAACCACCAGCCACCCCCAGTATGGCCAACACCCAGTGAAATACAGTACAACCTTCAAAACAAACCGCACAAACACCAGGGAATAATTTTTTTTATATCCTATACATTTCCTCTCTAACATTTTATATATATATATATATATATATATATATATATACAGTGGCCTCTTAATCTAACTCAATCCGCTCCAGAAGGTCGTTTTAATCCGAAAACGTTCGTTAACCGAAACCATTGTTTCAATGGGTTTTTGGGTAATTGGTTCCAGCTCACCGAAAATTTCCTAAATTCAACAAAAATGGTAGAAAAGTTCACTTACTTTGAGGTGTGTATGTAGAAGGCTCCTGGATGATGATGATGATGATGATGGGATTTAGAATGGGGGTGGAGGAGAAGGAAGAAGAGAAGGCATTGGGGTGGAAGAGAAGTCACCCCATGGTGCCATTTCACCCATAAAATTTTAGCTCTCTGGTTTAATTCAAGATTATTTTCTTTAAATCAACACTGCACTGCATTATATATTGTCAATATATAAAATATATTTCAAAATATATTTCAAAATGACCAATAATTTGCTTGGAAACACAGAAAAAAAGCGTTTAGTTGAAGAGAGTCTCAAGCAAGATGTTACCTCCAGTGAAAACAGAGAGAGACTGACGCCTGTTTGCTGTGTTAAGAGGCTGGATGCCGCGCATTAAACTAGTCACTTTACCTTCAATTTTGTTCAATAATTGTTAAAATGACTAAAAAATTGAATATTAAACTTTTAAAATTATTGAATAGTATAAACTTCTTGATATTTACAAAAATAGTAAGGAATTTAAGCCCTAGAACCGATTAATGTATTGGCGGACTGATACTAAAGCTGGTTGCCCGGTCAGTGCAAGCGAAAACATGTTGAGGTCGGTTCGTAAGAAGTTCGTTAAGCGAATTTTTTTTGTTAACCGAATTGAAGATCCTTATGGAAGGCAGTTCGTTAATCGAAATTAAAGTTCGTTAACAGGGTCACTGTATATATATATATATATATATATATATATATATATATATATATATATATATATATATATATATATATATATATATATATATATATATATATATATATATATATATATATATATATATATATATATATATATATATATATATATATATATATATATATATATATATATATATATATATATATATATATATATATATATATATATATATATATATATATATATATATATCCGGAATGCCCAATTTACGCGGTGCAACTACTCATATACGCGGGTGAAGTACATATAATTTTTTTATTTAGCTCATAAAATTCATACAAATTACCCGGCCAGAATATAATTTACATTGCTGGAATTCTTACAATATGATGATCATTTTAAATATAAACATCATGGATTTTGCATTAGACATACAAATTTTAGATCTAATGTAAGAATTTTGTTTACACAGAGCAAATATGTTCTCTTTTGTGCAAAATATATGACGTGTATATTCAAAATATTCTTGGTCTTGCAAGGAATCCAGCAATGTCAATTATATTATCCCAACTTTAGTCTGAGGTATTACAGTCGACCCTCGTTAATTCGGACCCCTTTAATCCGGATTTCGGATAAATCGGACGAAATCTGAACTGTCCTATCAAATTTCTGGTTCTGGGATTGTCCCAGTTGCAATTGGGGTTGCAATTTCAATTTCTGTCATTACTAAGGAATAAAGAAGTCACTGGTGTACTGCACTCTAAGAGTAAGAGAAAACGGACGACTCAGGCGTCCTGAAGTGAGAGAAACAAACTTCTTTGACGGGGCACTCAAATAAAGAGAGACATAGCTACATGTTTTGTGGACTACCCCCTTTACAGTATCCTTTTCATCACTTTGTAATAAACCTAGTCTTGCCTATGTGTTTCTGATAAATACCATAACATTATATATTTATACAGTATATTTAGCGGTTGTACAAACACAAGGCCTCACACATGCCATTCAGACTGACAGACTTGACAAGTTTTACCAACCATAAAGACAGTTGAAGCTTTAAACATCACTCACAATGGATCTTGAATATTCCAACTGTAATCAGACATAACTAAGTTGCCTCAACAATTGCAACCCCAATTGCAATTTCAAATTCTGTGTCAGTACTAAGAAATAAATAAGTCACTGGTGTACTGCACTCTAAGATTAAGAGAAAACGGACGACTCAGGCGTCCTGAAGTGAGAGAAAACGGACTCCTATGACGGGGCACTCAAATAAACATACACATAGCTGTATAATGCAATATTAACACCTAAATCAGTTAATTCGGGCAATCGGCTAAAACGGACACCCTTCCCCCCCTATTAGTCCGTTTTAACGAGGGTTGACTGTATTTTTTACTATACCTTAAAATCTAGTGTTTTCACCCAAACATTTCTCAGAGAGGTAAGAGCCAGGGAAGAGGAGGAGGGAGGGGGAGTCGAGTCCATTATTTGAATGGCATTAACCTGGCGACTGTATTTCTCTTAAATATTAATTGAGTGCATACCATCATAAAATTATGACGACACACACACACACACACACACACACAAGCACGCACGCACGCGCGACCCTCGTTAATTCGGACCCCTTTAATCCGGATTTCGGATAATTCGGACAAAACCTGAACTTTTTTTTTTTTTTAGATTTGTAGGAATATTACCTACGCGAACCTTAAGCTAAAATGCTGGTTCACCCTCTGCTGGGATAAAACACCAGCGTCTTTTTGCTTAAATGTAACCAGTGGCGTAGCTAGAGTGTGTGCCGCCCGGAGCGGCCCTTGAGTTTTTTTAATAGTTTTCGGTTAAAATACTGTTATATTACAATGATATTCTATTCATACTGTGCTTGATATAATACATTCACGGAAATGTAATATTTTTGCTGAAATTATGTACGTATTACAGTGGAAAGTGGGATAAAATCGTGACGAAAACAATGACTGAAATATAATGCAATATTAACCCCTAAATCGGTTAATTCGGACAATCGGCTAAAACGGACACCCTTCCCCCCCTATTAGTCCGAATTAACGAGGGTCGACAGTGTATATATACACTATATATATATATACAGTGACCCCTCGGTTAACGAACTCAATCCGTTCCAGGTCGTTCGTTAACCGAAACCATTGTTTCAATGGGTTTTTGGGTAATTGGTTCCAGCTCACCGAAAATTTCCTAAATTCAACAAAAATGGTAGAAAAGTTCACTTACTTTGAGGTGTGTATGTAGAAGGCTCCTGGATGATGATGATGATGGGTTTTAGAATGGGGGTGGAAGAGAAGGAAGAAGAGAAGGCATTGGGGTGGAAGAGAAGTCACCCCATGGCGCCATTTCACCCATAAAATTTTAGCTCTCTTGGTGTAATTCAAGATTATTTTCTTTATATCAACACTGCACTGCATTATATATTGTCAATATATAAAATATATTTCAAAATG